GTGTACCAAGTTTCATCATGATGTCTCAATTTTTACTCAAGTTACAGCTTGCACTTACGAACAGACAGACATCTGGATTTCAACTCTGCTCGTCACCCTGMTCCCTCTGGAATATGTAACCCGATATCTGACTCTTTTAGTTTTACGACTTACAAACAACTGTTATGTGAACAAAACTATAATACGAGAGTATTAACAACTTTTTTGCGAGAGYATAATAAACTTAAACAATAAATYAAGGCTAACTTCGTGAAAAATAAATGCGCTGTTGTTTTTACATGCTATTTCAAAKCAATCGCTTGATGATAGGTTTTTTCGAATCTTCAATATAACTTGCGTATTTTTAATCRCAGAAGCTTAAAATTTGTGACATATCTGTTGTTGTTGTTGTAGTGTCAGATTTATGCATACATTGTCAAACGATGAATGCTATGCGTAAGAAAGAAACGAACGCGTTCACAAGAGTTCCGGTTAGAATTAAAACTTGAGCTTAATAAATTCGTACGCATCTCTGATAATGCTATTGGGTAATTAATCAGTGATTTAACTGATTGGCTTGCAGGAGTAAATTTTACATTAAAATTAAACGGTATTAAAATAAATTCAGGGTAAAAAAGTGAGAGAAATCAGTAAGTCGTATTACGATGAAAATATATATAATTTCAGAACAGTTAATCTTACAGAAGTATAAAGTTATAATGAATTACTCTACAATGGTATAATTTAATAGATAGGAATTTTACCAAATTTATACAGTCTGGCATTATATTTTGTATTTAATGTCCCAGCTGGGATATTTGGGTGGTTTGTGTATTTGCTAATAACAGCTGATTGTCAATTGTTGTAGAAGAAACGTCCGAAATTAGTTGATAAACAATTTGCGGTGTTTATAAAGATATAATATTATTTATTGTAATAATATGTCGAAAGTGATAGAGATTTCAGATTCCGAGGAGGAGTCAGAAAGAATTGAAAGTGATCCTCTAGGGAACGCCAACCCTATTTTGCCTACGTCAAATAATGTTTGCAATACCAAAGATTCGATTTTGCAGGARGGAACTATACCTTCTTGCAGTAAGTCTCCTCCTCCATTGGTAATTTCGGAAGTTTCGTCCTTAAATACCTTACAAGGTGCAACGACAACATCTACACAAAGGAGCCCGTCTACAAGTACTAGTGCGGCCAGTACTACAGCCGTAGCTAGCTCTTCAAATCCGGCTCTACCACTACAAACTAAACGCAGTCGTCGCAAGAGTATCCATCATCCTTTGTGTGTAAGCCCGGAAATACAATTCGAAACAATATCCCTAGATGATGAGGAAGATAAGGCGCCAGCGAAGCCCAAAAACAAAACAAATGCTATCAGCGATGGTATACATCAGAATAAGGCGCCAAAATTACAGAAACTTGCACCGAAAATACTTAATACTAAACCACAGGCAGATAAACCACAGGCAGATAAAAATAGGGACGATTTACCGGATGTTTGTGYCGAGTTTCTTGCGTCAGATGAAACTAAAGCATTACTACAACAAATAGCAGAGGATCGTGTTCGCATAAATTTTCTACTGGCATCATACAATATGCCAGAAATACAATTTGCTTTGCATACAAAGCCGGATGTATTGAAATTTCAATTAGAGGAGCGAATAAAACATAGAAAAAGACGGTCACTTGAATCTTCGAAACAAATGAAAAAACGACGTAGCTTGTTACAAAATAACACTCGCACGGACACTTAAAATAAGCTGATGTTCTTAATATTCATAAATATTTTGATACGTAATTATGTAGAGATCTTCATATTACATATATAGTATTGTTTTAAGACTTTATTCAAATATGCACGATTATTAAGTTAATTAATAATAAGTAAGTAAAATTGAGATAGTGAAAGAAAAAAATTTACAATAATTGAAGCTGCAGGTAAAGATTATGTTATGCGATTGTAATTAAAAATAAAGAACAAATTGTAATTATAACTAATGTCAATTATTAATATTTTGTTGATCAGTTTTGAACGTAATTAGGATCCTCTAAATATTTGTGCTCAATTCTTTATAAAAGCAGCTAATATTGTACGGTTGCTCAGAAGAGTGTTTCCAAATTGAACTAAACATTCGACTCAAGTTAAAAATTCCGTAAATCATTATATATCAATAACAATACATACATTCATAATTGGTATCGTAAAAAAAGCATATGAATGAAGATGAGGAATGCACGGCGACCTTTGTGTGTGCCCTCTCCTGACTCGCTTAGGCCCAGCTCATTAATGAAGTCCAGTAGACTACCGGGCGCTATGCGATCCCTATCTGGAAACATCGATCCAAGGGCCTTAGATCTGCGTCTAYWGACTGCTGTGCAGTCAATCAGCAGATGCTCCGGGGTTTCAAGCTCCCCATTGCAGAACCGGCAGCTAGCGCAAGAGGATAGGYCCATGCTGTGCAGGTGCCTATTAAGCTTGCAGTGGTCAGTGTACCATGCGACTAGTAKCCTGAGTTTGTTCCTGGGGAGGTTTACTACAATTTTGAACCTTTTCAAGTTTTATCCTCCCATTAGCAACTTGGCATGTCTCATACCATGAGTTTGTAGCCAATGCTCCTCCCTGCCCGCTCTTTCCTCCTCCGCTCCTTAATGGTATGGGGACCCACCCCCATAAAGGGTTCGGGTCCTACCATCTTGGTGGAGGCTGCGGAGCGGGCGAGCTCGTCAGCCAGTTCGTTGCTGGCTATGCCCAGATCATGTGTATCTGATTTCTTTCCCTAGGCTGTTCAGCCTATCCTTACACTCCTGCACTAGCAGCGATTTGATCTCGTAAGAAGTGATCGCCTTTAGCGCCGCTTGACTATCGCTGAGAATGGCTATTCACTCATTGCGACAGTTGCGATGGAGATTTATTTCTGTACACCGGCTTATGGCAAAAACTTCTGCCTGGAAAATGCTCGGGAACTCTCCCATGGGTATGGAGAGCTTAGTGCGTGGGCCGACAATAACTGTGCCGATTCCCTTCGACATTTTCGAGCCGTCGGTGTACCACCTCATAGTACTGTTCCTCAACAGCAGCTCGAGGTTGGAGTCGTTCCACTCATCTTTGTTCCCGAGTAACCTTAAACTTTTTCCTGAAGTTAACCGTATTGATAGAACTGTCCCCTGAGATGAGACTACCTTGCCGTTTCTACACCCCTCTGCCGTTATAGGTGTGTTTGGCTACCTGAACGTTGACCAAATGAAGCTGTAGCTTCAGTAGCTTAGTCTTAACAGAAGTTTGCGACGCCAATGAGGCCAGGCTACCGCCCCGTATTTGATTATCGGTCTTACCATCATGGTGTACAACCACCTTACTATCTTTGGCTTACAACACATGGACGTGTTTTCCTGCCGATTGCACACCATTAAGGCCTTTGTCGCCTTGAAGAAGGTCAGGTTTACGTGCTGCTTCCACCTCATTGTGGAGTCTGGCATCAACGCGAGGTATTTGATACTGTTGTTCATACCTATCTCACTGCTCCCTAGTGTGAGATTCCTAAGACGGGGTAGGGACCTGCATCTCGTAAACGGGATTACTTTCGGCTTGGGGGGGGTTTTGATATTCAGTTCAGTTAGGTTTAGCCCTCTTTGAACTAAGTCACAGCGAGTGGCTTCGTATTTCCCTTTTTACAATGTCGTCCGCATACCCTTGGCAGCGGATCCCATTGTCTGTTAGCAGTGCTAGCAGGTCGTCTGCGACTAGACTCCATAGAGATAACAACTGTCTCCGGGAAGTGCGCCCGCAGAAGCACGGTGGCTCTGTCCTTCGCACTGGTCGTAAATGTCCCGTCGCCGCGTTTTATTGCTATTTCCACATCCTTTGTGCCCCTAGCCAGAGCTTTGTGCAGCCGAGCCGCTTCTGTCGTAGGGGCGACATTCTCGCAGAATCTCCTCAACCTAGTCTGTTTTACAGACCTAATCTTCTTATGGTATAAGGTGAGATAGCTTCTGTATTCTGCCCAGACCCCYGTACTTTGTTAAAAAGGTGCTTTTAGGAACAATTGCCATGATAAGCGTTAATTACAGACCCGTTCAGCTCAGATATTCTAATCTCCAGTCCAGGGCCTGAAACGCTATCGTCAGTTTGCCCCCTCCTGCTTAATTCATTGCGTAATATATCCCTGAAGGCGTCCCAATTCACCTTCCGAGGGTTACGTCTAGGGGAGTTGCCTGACCTCTAACWTTAGCTTGAATATTATAATCCTGTGGTCTGACAAGGAGGGCTCCGTCGAGACTCTCTATTGCGAGACCAATCTGGTTGCAGGCTCATTGCTCAAGGTGATGTCCAGTACCTCCCTCCTGCTTATCTGCAGTATGCCCAGTTTCTCAGCTGTGAACCTGCTTGTTATGGCAGCTGAGGCTGCAGTTCCGTGATGCAGGTTCACTTAGGYAATCTCCGTATTGACGGCCATTATAATATGGGTTCGAGGAAGGACAGGTCCTCTTCCCCGCCGTCCATCGGGTTGCTATTGATTGGGTCTCCTAACCCGTCGAGGAGCACCTGGGTGGAGGGTAGCTCTGCTGTTTGATCCCAGCGGCCGACATCGCGGACGTCGGTGGTCGCCGTTGGTACTGCCTGCTCAGTCCTACTTCCGCAAGGCTGATCCGACRCCTCGTCCAACTGCATTTCTGCTATCTCCGGGGCTGCCACAGACACTGCCTGTTTTTMGAAGCCCTTGTTTTCGAGAGTCGCAGGCGTTGCAGCTCCCTTGCTTCCGATGGCTGCAGGCCTGTGGGGCCGCATGACCACCGTGTTGAACCTGTAGTACAGGCGGACGCTCGCTGCCCGTACGACTCATCGTCGATGTACATGTACAATCTYCTTTCATCTCTCCTTTTGCTGCTGACGACACACCAGGACGAGATGCTGAGGCCCCGGTTCTGGTTTTTCAGCAGACCTAGGGCTTGTCCCCGCATTGAGGGAGGAATATTATCGTGCCATGTATGATTGGCAAATCTTCCGGCCTCTTCGCGCAAGGGACACTTCCAGCCTCCCAGTTTTCAAGCGTACTCCCTCAGCCAGTTGGCGGACTCCTCATCCAYGCAGTCCACTTTCAGCATACCTCCTCCAAACTTCACTCCCAGGAAGGACGCCGCGTAGTCCTCCCCTCTGAACACCTCCTCCATGAGGAGGTCCTGGAGCGCGGTGAGATCCTCCGGTTTCAACGACTCCGCCGGGTAGTGAAGAGTCAGTACAGCCATGCTAATGCTATGCGGTGAGCCTCCGCTCACCTCTTCTGCGCCTCCTCCTTCTCTTCTACGAGCACCGTCAAGCTTAGCTCGATGTGACTCAGCCGAGTCCGACTCACTGCACTGTTGCGTTGCGTTTTTCTTTGTTGTTGCCTTTGTTCCACGTTGTCCGAATTTTGGGTTTTGTTTAGTTTTATAGTGCCCATCTTGTTCTTAAGACCTTGGCTCAACAAGGTGAGCTGTCGACTCTATTATTTTGATGGGGAACTAGGAAGTCCGCCACGCCAGAGCCCCTTAATGCGGTAAGGCCACAGCTACTCCCGAATTTGGCCCGGTGTTGGGAAGGCTCCGTTAGAATACAGCCGAATTCACCTCCTGGCTGCAAATCATCCAATGGGTACGGGAGTCGCGTAACACCCTGGATTAGGAGGTGGAAGCTCTTGGTTAGCGCACGCATACGGCGCCCGACATCCCGCATTAGCAGTGCTTATCAGCACCATCCACGCAGGTTGGGGGACGCCAAGTATGCCTTGGACCTAAGCCCCTGCACGCAAGGTGCCTACCATTCGCAGAGGAAAATATGAGATATCTCGTGGCCTTAACCAAAATATATAATTTCAAAGTATTTGTAGGCACGGTAAGCTAAACTTGCTATTTCGACGAGGTAAGATCATAGAAAAAGCACTGTCAAGTAAGTAGGTCTAAGTATGCAACAAAAGTTGGTGTCATGCTGGGAATCTTTGTATGCAAAACATATATCCAGTACGTATATCCCCTTTAGAGAAGGAAGAGCTTAATATACTATATTATGAGTAAATTTAATTAATACTAGTCATCTGGTAGGTAGTTAACAACGTTTTTGTGTATCTTACTCAGGTATTGTGGATTTGGTTTTAACTCTGGACTACTTATGCCTTGAATATTCCAAGTAYCGGCCTCSTTCCCGATCCAGCGACAGTCGGGTATACGTAAACAAAACGGACCGGCCAAGTACTATCAACTCGGCATAATTCTGCAGCTACAACAACAAAARCAGCATGGTATTGTATTTTTTTCTGGCTCTTCTATCAGTTTATTTAGAATTTTATTGTTACTTTAGTTCGAAAAGTGATAATTTTACTTCTGATTTTATCACTTCAGATTACGATTTGAGGTTGGAGTCACTTGTAGAAGTTCACGCAAGTGAGGAAAGTTTTCTGATCGCCATTCACTTGGGAGTGGCCAGAAACGATTCTTTTAAATATGGCTCAAGCAGCTCACGACCTTAGAACATCCGTTTGAAGGCGAGCTAAAGTGAGAAGGCGAAACATCTCCTACATAGGGTTGTGCGCTGGGTTTGGAACCCGCCACGTACAAAACCACCCCCAATGAAAAAGCAAGAACAGCCTCGAACGACCATGGCAAACGAAATAAGGACTACAAATTGAGGGCATGCACCTGGAATGTCCGGTCCCTTAATTGAGAAGGTGCCGCTGCCCAGTTGGCTGATGTCCTCGTTAAAATAAAGGCTGACATCACCGCCGTCCAAGAAATGCGATGGACGGGACAAGGACTGAGACAAATAGGTCCTTGTGGCATTTACTACAGTGGCCATATAAAGGAGCGCAAGTTTGGCGTGGGATTCGTGGTGGGAGAGAACTCCGTCGCCGAGTACTATCATTCAYTCTGGTGAATGAACGTCTAGCCACAATCCACATTCTATGAGTGCTTGGAGCGCAC